TTTTGGGGTGCCAGGTTCCGGGATCCCGGAGGTTTTGGAGTTTTGGGGTCACACGTTTTTTCGGGTGCAGGTTTCGGGGTCCCGGAGGTTTTGGACTTTCGGGGTCCCAGAGGTTTGGGAGTTTCGGGGTCCCGTATTTTTTGGGGTCCCAGGTTTCAGGGTCCCGGAGGTTTTGGAGTTTTGGGGTGCCAGGATTTTTGGGGTCCCAGGTTCAGGTTCCTGGAGGTTTTGGGCTGCAGTTTCGGGGTCCCAGAGGTTTTGGAGTTTCAGGGTCCCTTGTTTTTTGGGGTCCCATGTTTTTTGGGTGCAGGTTTCGGGGTCCCATGTTTTTTGGGGTGCCACGTTTCAGGGTCGCGGAGGTTTTGGAGTTTCAGGATCCCGGAGGTTTTTGGGCCGCAGTTTTGGGGTCCCGGAGGTTTTGGAGTTCCAGGGTCCCGTGTTTTTTGGGGTCCCATGTTTTTTGGGGTGCCAGGTTTTTTCGGGGTGCCAGGTTTCGGGGTGCCAGGTATTTTGGGGTGCCAGGTTTTGGGGTCCCAGAGGTTTTTGGGCCACGGTTTCATTGGCCCGGGGGTTTTGGGGGCGGCGGTTTCAGGGTCCTGGAGATTTTGGAGTTCCGGGGTCCCGTGTTTTTTGGGGTCCCATGTTTTTTGGGGTGCCAGGTTTTTTTGGGGTGCCAGGTTTTGGGATGCCAGGTATTTTGGGGTGCCAGGTTTTGGGGTCCTGGAGGTTTTTGGGCCCCGGTTTCGTGTTCCCAGGGTTCTGGGGTCAGCAGTTTCAGGGTCCCGGAGATTTTGGAGTTCCGGGGTCCCGTGTTTTTTGGGGTCCCATGTTTTTTGGGGTCCCATGCTTTATGGGGTGCCAGGTTTTTTGGGGTCCCATGTTTTTTGGGGTGCCATGTTTTTCGGGGTGCCAGGTTTTGGGGTGCCAGGTATTTTGGGGTGCCAGGTTTTGGGGTCCTGGAGGTTTTTGGGCTGTGGTTTCGTGTTCCCAGGGTTTTGGGGTCGGCAGTTTCAGGGTCCCGGAGATTTTGGAGTTCCAGGGTCCCGTATTTTTTGGGGTCCCATGTTTTTTGGGGTGCCAGGTTTTTTCGGGGTGCCAGGTTTTGGGGTGCCAGGTATTTTGGGGTGCCAGGTTTTGGGGTCCCGGAGGTTTTTGGGACACAGTTTCATTGGCCCGGGGGTTTTGGGGGCGGCGGTTTCAGGGTCCTGGAGATTTTGGAGTTCCGGGGTCCCGTGATTTTTGGGGTCCCATGTTTTATGGGGTGCCATGTTTTTCGGGGTGCCAGGTTTTGGGGTGCCAGGTATTTTGGGGTGCAGGTTTCGGGGTCCCATGTTTTTTGGGGTGCCACGTTTCGGGGTCCTGGAGGTTTTGGAGTTCCAGAGTCACGTATTTTTTGGGGTCCCATGTTTTATGGGGTGCCAGGTATTTTGGGGTGCCAGGTATTTTGGGGTGCCAGGTTTTGGGGTCCCAGAGGTTTTTGGGCCACGGTTTCATTGGCCCGGGGGTTTTGGGGTCGGCAGTTTCAGGGTCCTGGAGATTTTGGAGTTCCGGGGTCCCGTGTTTTTTTGGAGTCCCGTGTTTTTTGGGGTCCCATGTTTTTTGGGGTGCCATGTTTTTCGGGGTGCCAGGTTTCGGGGTGCCAGGTGTTTTGGGGTGCAGGTTTCGGGGGGCTCAGCAGCGCCCGGCCTTGGCGTCGCCGATGGCGCCCCAGACGTCGAAGACGAACTCGTCGGGGAAGGCG